AATTTTTTGTCACTGTGTGTTGCTGCTTTTGAATCTCCTGAATCTCCCTTTGTGAAGGTGTAAGCACTCTTTCAGGGCCCTCGAGGTCAGATAGTAAATTCTAGGCACCTTTCTCTTTAAATACCTATCCAGTAATGAAGAAAATGCATCTAAGTGGCTCTGGGAGCTTTTGATTGAAATAAAAATAAATAAAAGAGGAAGAGTTCTCTTTTTCTTACTACCTCATCCAGAAAAAATATATTTATAGCAGAACAGGTACCTGGCACCTATGTCTCCTCCAAAAGAAGACTGACTACTAAATTTTGGACCTAATTTAGTAAATGATTATTTTGAAAGTTTCCACTGTTCAAATTTTGAGAATTAGTTTTCCAAATAGCTTTCTATGCTGTTGATTTTACTGTGAGATGTATTTCCGGTATCTTGTTATGTCACATGCAAAAGATGATAAAAAATGTATAAATTGGAGTTCAAATAATTAATGGGCAATTCACATATGAAAACATCACAGAGTTACTCAGTGAAGGGGAGCTTACTGGTGAGAAATTCCCTCAGGCTTCTGTTCTACGAGAGGCACAGAAGAAATACAAATCCAGCCAACACTGCATTGCTGCATCTTGCCTCTCCTGAGCCCAGGACACCAGCCCAGGTAGACAGATACATCTTCCTCAGTTGGCCACAGAGCAGTGGTTAGCAACTCTGGGCTTTGGAGGCTTTCAAAAAGACTGAAATCTGGTTCCCACTCCAGGGAATTTTTATATAATTGGGAATTTCAAAATCTCAAGTGATTGTTATGTATAGCCAAGGTTGAGACTCATTCCTCTAGATAAATATATAATTAACAGCATCTCTGCTTCCAAATCAAAGCCTCTTGCACACTGACACTTCCTCCCCCGTCCCAAGTCAGACCTTATCTGTTCTGCATTTCTTCTGTTCAGGTATATGTGGTCTGCAAACACACACACAAAACATGTTATGCTGACAACCATGTTCCGTGGAATGGTGCATATTAGAGATAATGCTCAACTTAAGTTTGTAAGTATTTTTAGCACTTGGAGCAGAGCACACATGAAATAGCACCCAGCCAAAAATAGGGCTGAGTGATGAGGACAGGTGAAGAAGCTGTGAAGACTACATTTCCCCTAGGTAGAGAGCAAGTCTGGATATGCTGGGCTCCCTTGCTTTGGCATGGTCTTTTCTGAACAGTGTGGCCAGGGTACGGTATTCTTTTTTTCCCCATATGGGCAGACTGTGATCATACAGATATATTCCCAGGTTGTTCCAATAATCCTAAACCAAGAAGATTTTTTGTTTTTCAGCCTGCTTAATTTCTCCATCTGCTCAACTATCTTATAGCCATATATTTCAAAAACCTACCTAATCTTCCTCAGCTAATCTTAGGCTTAATCTTGTTCCTTTTTTTCCTCTCAAAGTCATGTAGATAATGGATAGATAGTCCCTTTAGGACTGCACATGGAGGCATATAAACAGGGAACTTTTCCCTTAAAATCCCCTTAAAACTTTGAGAGATAAGGACCTGGCTTTTGATTTAAAGAGAATCAATTCCAAAAGATTTGGAAAACTGTCTCTATGACTGAAATACTGAACACATCTGACTCAGTTCTGTCACGGTCCTACTAAAACCACAGGCAGACAGTGACCCTGGTTGTGCCTGAGACACTATATCTGGGCCTTAACGAATTATAAGACTCCCCTCCAAGTACTAACCAGGCCTAAACCTGCTTAGCTTCAGAGATCAGACGAGATCAGGCACATTCAGGGTGGTATGGCCATAGACTTAATTAAGCATAGGAAGCAAAGTCAGTAGTATTGCTTTTGTAGGGGGTTAACATAAATGATAACTTAATCATTCTTCTCAAGACCCCAAGATAAGTGGAAGATTTCACATTGCTCACATTATTAGAACAAATAATATTGCTCACATTATTAGTAGAACAAATAAACAAATAGTCTAGATTCTCAATGATTAAGGAAAAGAAAGGCTATTTTCTGTTAGAACACTAAAAAGGGCTTATCCATGAAAGGAGTCATAAGGAGGTAACGTCAGCTTGTCAAGACTGTAGTTTGCAAGCCTTATCTTCTAACGCCACCTTAGCAGACATAATGTAATTTTTATGATAAACTAGGCTTAGGGTGATCACCTGCATCATGTCAAGGTTACTAAGAGGTTTTTTTTTTTATATAAGATAGAGAAAATATGAGAAAATGAAAAGGATTACACGGGTCAATAGTACTTGTTTTCCCAAGATGATGACCATAAAAATGGTGATGGTGGTGGTAGTGGTGAGTGTGTGTGTGTGTGTGTGTGTGTGTGTGTGTGTGTGTTAGTGCTACAGAATGGAAATGTTCAAAGAGAAAAATCACATTAGATTCTTGTTATTGCTATCCCTTTGAATTATAAAAATAATTTTGATACAGTAAAACCTCATTATTTTGGATTCCACTTACCAGAAGTTTGTGGGATGAAATTACCCTTACATTAAGGGGCTTGTAAAAACAACTGTGTAAGCACATTTAAATCACTTAGAGGAACCTGTTCTTTTCAAGCATTTCAGAAGCACCTGTCTAGTTCCAAGTGATGTGCTAACAATAAACTTTTGATCTATTCATTGAAGCAAGAAATTTAAACACTTCTCTTGCAAAAGGGCATAATATCCTTTTTGATATTTTCTCTGTGTATTCTAAAATGTTCAATAATATTTTTTCCTCACTGGTTCATAAATGCTTTCTCCAAAATTTTAGTTTATTGCATATAAACCACACATATAATTTTGGGTCTAAAAATTTATCTTGCTGACAACATGCACTTAGGTGCAGTTTTACTCAGGACATATATTACATATTTCACAATCTGTTTCTTTAAAAGATGAATAGTGATTCTCAATTGGGAGTAGCAGGAGACATTTTTGACTGTCCTTACTGAGAGTTTCTACTGGCAACTACTGGGTACAGGCCAAGGATGTTATACTAACATCCTTCAATACACAGGCCAATCTCCCACAACAGAAAGTTTTGTGCTAATAGTGCTGCTATCAAGAAACCCTGACATAGAACAAGTTAAATCCATAGTTTTGGCAGTGCTGAGGATAGAACCTGGGGCCTTGTGCATAGTTTGCAAATGCTTTACCACTGAGCTCTTCTCTCAGCCCAGAACAAGTTAAATCTTATTAGGCTCTAGGGTATTTATTGAATTTAATACTACTTTGGGCTGAATTCCATCATTCCTAAAATAAACCAAGTTTTCACTCTTCTAGGTATTTATTTAAATGGAGAAGTGATACAGTGTTTGTTTAGAAAAATCAAAAGACTGGGACCTTGAGATTGATGGTAGAAATAGTGTATTGCAATTTGGTTGTCAATGTTTTCCAGATCTGGCTTCAACTTTCTGTAATATCTTCACTGTACAATTTTATATGTCATTGCTGTATTTCCAAGCCAGACCCTGTTACCTATTATGAGTTTGAAAGATTTTGAAAGTTTTTTTTTAAGAAGCCAGACAAATTTAAGGACTCTGAAAAATGTTACCCTCGTGTACATTTTCTAACTCCTTCAATCATCTTTTCTGTTTTCAAAATTACTGAAAGCATTTTAAAGGAATAAAATAAAAAAAACCTTAACCTCCTCCCAAATTTTGCCTATGAAAATAACTTGGACTGTAGGAAAATGGTGAATTTTTAAGAAACTCAAATGTAAATCCAGTAATACCTTGATTAATCAAAATTCTTTAAGTCAAACCCATAACATTAAGGTTCTTTTTGAAGGAGCAGCATATTATAAGATGGGTCCTTGAATACATAAAAACTTCAGAATCATGTTAAATAGTACTAGTTGTCTTCATTCTTTTCAGTCTTTAGTACTTTTCTGTTATGATGGATAACTTGTTGGGGATACTTTATTTTTGAGAATTTTGAATAAGAAATATGTATTTGGTAGGTTTTTTTTTTTTTTTTTTGGTGCCGGGAATGGAACTCAGGATCTTGTGCTTGCCAGGCAGGTGCTTGTGCCCCTGAGCTATATCTGCAGCCTATATTTGGTATTTATTGATAAAATTTGGAGCTTATATTAGTTGACTCGATGAATTATTGATTTTTATATCATTAAACTATGTATTTCTGTTGTCCATAATGACAATTGAGGCCAAGATAGCAAAACACTACTACATAAATCTGTCCTTTAATAAGTACTGAACCAAAAAATATTTTCTAATAAAAGCCCTCATTAATCATAAATATAATAAATCAGAATTCATTTTCCAATATATTAACTGAGGTTTTACTGAATCATGCTAATGAGAATGACCAGTTTGGTCTGTGAATGTCAGGCTGCAAAAGCACCTTGGGGCTGTAGACCCTACTGGGTTTGAACAGTAATATACTGTGTAACTGACAGACATGGATACAAATGGAGTTTTAAAAATATATCATTTTAGAAACTGAAATTGGGAGGTGTGAAATTTCACTCTTTGTGAAATCAGTTCTCAAAGCTATCTGCCTTGTTCTAATAGGCTAGTTCCTCAAACCTATAGCCAATTCCCTTGCAGAGTACAAACCAGGCTGAAAAAAATGCTTTAAGGCGACCCCATCCTGCATGGTTTAATGACTAAAAATAGCAACCCATTCTGAAGGTGACAGAAATGGCAATAATTGTGTTGGGAATAATTTACTGTCCTGGCAATACTTGATTATGACTGAGAACTGTGAATGGTGTAAAATACAATGGAGAGAGAAGAACATTAATCAGACTCTTGCTGTAAGAATTCAGTAATGTTCTGAGTATAATGAAGGTTACAGGTGAGAAGAAAACTCTGGGTTTATGTTTTGTTTGCTTTGTTTTTCAGTGGGATATGGGAAATATATTTGAAATGCATTGATATCTTCTAATGTAGATTTTTGAAATTGTTGGGTATGGCCCAATTTATAAAAATAATTTACCATAAATCTTTTTCTTCTGTCACAACATGCTCTTTTTCTTTTCCTCTTAAGCTGTTAATTTATCATGCAAAGATTTTTTTCATTAAGTGCATTAATGCTTTTGTTTGTACAGGAAATTCAAATCAAAAGGACTCCCCATAGTTTCTAAGTGTAAATCTTTAGCAAATCACATGCCAAGATGATAGCTCCATTCCACACGGGAAAAGGCATATTTAGCCATTATCTTGGGATTTTAACCAGGGTTCCAGCCTTTGGGTTGTACAGTGTCTTTGATAAGTCTCCTTTACAATAACTTCAGATGGACTATAATGGAACATTTTGTAGAAGAAACTGGCTTCTAGCAGTTGAATAGTGATGCTGGGAATAAATTTGGTTTCCCTGAATAATGGTTTCTCAAAGCAGTCACAGCTTCCTTAGAAGTTTAGAACTGGTACCATTTCTTATCCTTATATTTCAGCATTAACTGCAAAGAGAAAAATAGTCACCATAAAATGCTAAAAACATCTCTAACAGTGCTATTCAAATCAAGCCCATATTGAGCTAATCATAAATATTTAAGTAAATCTCAAAACATAATAAAACAGGATGTCTTATTTTGTAGAATAAAGTACATATGAGAAAGGTTTAAAAACCAGGCACCCAATCAAGCTATAAAGACTTTTCATAGAGATTCTGTAGGGACTAAGACAAAGTGGAGGCTTTGGATCACAGTCTCTACTGCCCCTCGTGCAGGGCACACACATTCCACCTACACACACTGTGTGCAGCTGATACTCCAAACAAACCTATCAGGTCCAATAGACAATTTTAATTATATCCTAAAGTAAAAAAGTATTCATACATTCTGGTTAAAAACTATCTCCCAGGGGCTGGGGATTTAGCTCAGCGGCACAGCACCTGCCTGGCAAGCATGAGGTCATGAGTTCGATTCCCGGTACCAGAAAAAAAACAAAAAATAAAACAAACAAAGAAACAAACAAAAATTATCTCCCAAACCAGAGATTTTTAATACTTATAAGATATTCAGTTTACCCTGTCTGCCAAGCATTATATTCATGGCATCTCTGTTTAAACTTTCTTGTGTACGACCTAAATATTTAAAGTTATGACTATCTGAGTATGCCCACGTTCACTTAGGCAATTACCTCATGTGCATGTTTGGAAAATGCTTCTGCGCTGGTCATCATGCCAGCAGTCTTCTCTTCCAGTTCTCCCAGCCTCTGCCCTCTCTCGTCCAGTGCAATCCGGGCTCGAGTGAGCTCCCCCATCACCCCTCCAGCAGCACCTTTCATTCCTTCTATACTGCCTGGTCCAGGGATGTGTTGCGCAAGGCTGCGGGATGCTTTTCCTGCGGTGGCTTCCCCGACTAGGAGTTTAAGGCATAGCAATATAAAACATTTTGTCAAAATAATTCAAATAGTCAAGACTGTCACCCAAACAAAATACTTATATTAAATTCTACTGTCATAATTCACATTAGAAGACTGACATATTTGGTCTTGTCATATGTATGTATTTGAAGATGTTAGCACTTAGCCAAGAAAAAGCCTAAGAAAGAGACTCAGAAAAATATTATTACCACATGCATTTGTGTGTTTGGGGTGGGGTGGTTTCCATACAACATAGTGTAACTGCGTTTCTTGACATGGTTGAATTGGCATTCTCTCAAGACATGAGCCCTCATGTTTTACCCGTTTTAGGATCTGATATTTTGCTTAAATTTCTTGCCCAGATCTTTATTCCAACCTTCCAACCTTCTATGTTCATCTTGATTTATCAGCCTTTGTAAGTCTCAGATTTTCTCTCTTTCTGTAAATACTGGAGCATGGGAAACAGGAATATAGTATATAAATAACGGACATTAATATACATACACTGAGATTTTGTGACTTCATAAAGACTAACATTTTCCCAGTGACCTCCAAAGCTAGTTTCAATCACTTCAATAAAGTTAAAAAATTATTGAAACAGTTATTTTGCCAGAAATTCAGTGAACATTTCCAACAAAATAACACTGGGATGGAACCTACATTTTTTTTGTTTTTGAGACAGTGTCTGACTGTATCATGTAGGCTAGTCTTGAGCTCACTATGTAGTTCAGGCCGCCTTGAAGTTACAGCTTCCTAAATGCTGGGATTAGAGGTGTGTGTCACCATACCTGGTTTAGCTTTTTAAGAATAAGAGCCTTATTGAGATATAATTCACACACCATAGAGTTTATCCTTAAAAAAGTATTCAACTTATTGGTTGTTAGTGTAGTCACAAAGTTGTGCAATTATACCCACTCTCTGATTTTAGCCTATTTCCATTACACTACAAAACCCCATGGTGTTTAGCAGTCTCTCACCATCCTTTCCTTATCCCAGCCCCAGTAACCAATGAGCTGCTTTCAGTCTCAATAGATTTGCCTTTTCTGGACATTCACATAAATGGAATCACATAATATATGATCTGTGTCTGACCTGGTGATTTAGTGTGATTTTTCTGAAGTTCATCCATGTTGTAGCATGTCTCAGTTCTTCTTTTATTTTTATGGCCAAATAATATTTCATTATATCATGGCAGCTAGATCTTTTTGCATAGTTAAAGGTTCAAGAGGAAGAGAGTTTTAATCTGCAGAACCAAAATCATGGTAGCATATTCCGGAAAATATATTGTTATGTTTTCTCTGGAAGGTTCCCTAGTATTTTCCTTCTGCTTTTTGATTATTGTTCATCAGCGTCTCACTGGGAAATTTTTTGAGTAGTTAATTGGGCACTGATAAATCTTGCAGTTTGAACAATCTGTTTCCCATCAGTGATTATAGACAGACACATTAAGAACTTTTTCAGATTTTAATAACTGAATGCCTTCACCTTGCTATGCAGGTATGATCTACCTACAAATGAAACATTTGTTAGCTTGCTCATTATTTGAGTTATACATATCATTTTTGTTAAACTATTTCCTGATATAAAGTGATCAATTTTATTAATGCTTGGTAAACAGAAATAATTTTCATGGTACAGAAAGCAGTATGTTCAAACTTTAAGACAAGTGAAAAAACACCTAATTTAAAATTTGAGATCACATGTTACATTAAACTACAGAAAGAGAAAGAGAGATAGAAAGAGAGAGAGAGAGATTTTTGTAATCAGAAGTTTACTCACAGAGCTCTTCCCTGTCAAATGTTTGCCCACTTCCACCAAATAGTCCCTTCAGAAATCCTCTGTTTTGAGCCTCTGGTGTCTCTATAGGAGTGAACAGATCTCCTAGCATGTCCTGAAGCAAATTGAAAGAAAAAAAAACCCTTTATAACAACTAAGAATAAATTAATAGATAAAAAGGTAACACTGTGGTATGTTAAAACACATCATGAAAAGACAGTCTGCTTTCATATCTTTTCTTGCTGATTTTTCCTTTGCTTACAGTTTTCTTTCTAGCATTTCTTTCTCCATCTCTAGTAATTAATATATTAAAAATTTCCTTTTTCTGTTCCTTTTCTCTAAAAAGCATGAGGAAGTAAATATACTCACTTGAGAATTAACTTTTGCCTATGATTAATGATTACCAATTTAGACTTCTGAATCTGTTTGCAGTTACCACAGCCTCTTTCCTGTCCTGGTTCCCTTTTCTGAGCCAAGCATGGGCTGCTCCAGGAAACAGGAAGCCTTTGGTGGTATGTGCAAGGAAGCTGAATCTATCTTTATATCAACTACCTGTACAAGATTATGACAACATGGCTAAGATCACTTAATTGAGTGAATTAGGACCCTACTGCATGGTGAAGTGAATCTTTTCTCACTATTTGGAGAGTTTTGGAATGACTGCGGGGAATACCATGTTTCCTCGAAAATAAGACCTACCTAGAAAATAAACCCTAGCTGATCATTACCATGGTAATGGCCACTGTCATGCAGATTACCCCTCACCGTTTTCTTGCTCCTTAGCTACTCTGCAGTGGCAGGTAAGGCAAGGAAGGATAGGCTGATTGGAGCTGGCATTGTTGATGTCTAGTTCTCAAAGCTGATTATTTTCTGGGTAGGTCTTTATTTTGGGAGAAACATGATATTTACTTAGAATTCAGATGTGCCTGCCACCTTCCACAAATACCAAGTCAGAATCTATACAGATGTGCTTTGGCTATCTGTATTTTTATGAGATCTTGAGTTACAGGTCTTTGTACAGGGGAAGGAAATAAGACCAAGAGTCACAATGAAGAAATTGGTAGGGTCACAATGAAGAGCACACATTTAAAACACCAAGAGGATATTTACTGCTAGCCTAATACAGGTAACAGAGTAGTTTTTAGACATTTCTGCCATTCTTTTTTTTTTTTAACTCCAACTTAAAAAAAATACTTTACCTGTAAATTATCACACATTTCTTGGCTGTATGTCAACCGCTGAATTTCAGTAGGAGAGACCAAGTATAATGCCTGTCCTTCATTAGTAAAACAAAATGTCCGCGCTATCCTCATGTCTGTCAGTGGCAAATAATTAACATCCAATATTGGACGAAGACTAGGTAAGCTGAATGGAAAAAGTAAATCCACATTTTATGTTCAAGTTAACAGAAGTATTTCTTTATATAAAAATAGCTTTTTTTATTTTCCAGTACAAAACAAAATTTGGACCCAGGGCCTTTGCACTGAGCTGTATCCCAGCGCTTTTTCATTCTCTAATTTTGAGGTAGGGTCTGGCTAAGTTGCCAAAGTGCACAGGCTAGGTTGGTACTTGTGATCATCTTGATTCAGCTTCCCAGAAAACTGGGATTACAGATGTGTGCCACCATGTTCCACAGACTAAAGAGGGCATGGCACTATGTGTAAGAATGAGTGGATGTACTCCTCATTCTTTACTCCTTAACAGGAAATGAAGATCAGTTATAACCTAGGGCATTGCCACTAAAGACATGACTGATAAATAAACCAGGCCAAAAGTGCAATGGTATGAGAATAACAAATACTGGATCAGAATTTGCACATTCAAATCAATACCACATATCTGAAATATTTCTAAATATTTCTAATATTTTTCTATGTTTTATTTAAAAGGTTTTGGGAGTACCATGCTGTTTTTATCACAGTAGCTTTGTAATATAATTAAGTCAGGGACTGTGATGCCCTCTCCCTTGTCTTGTTGCCCAGAAATATTTTAGATATTCTATGTCTCTTCTGGTTCCAAATGAATTTTAGGAATACTTTCTCTAGTTTTGTGAGGTATGCTATTGCTGTTTTGATCAGGATTTCATTAAATTTGTGTAACAACTTTGGGAGTATGGCCATTTTCACTATATTGGTTCTTCCTATCCAAGAGCAAGGGATTTTTTCCATTTTCTGATACCTCTTTGATGTCCTTTTTTAGAGTACTGTAGTTTTCAATGTATAGATCTTCTTTTGTTAGATTGATTCCTAAGTATTTCATTTTTTTGGATGCTATTGTGAATGGTGTGGCTTCCCTAATTTATCTCTCAGTGAGTTTGTTATTTACGTACAAGAATGCTATTCATTTTTGAGGGTTAACTTTGTATCTAGCTATAGGAGTGAACTGGCAAGAAACAGACCTGAGGATCAATGGAACAGATTAAAAGATGCAGAAAAAACTCCAAACACACTCAACCACATCATCTTCAACAAAAGGGCTAAACAGCCCCACTGGAAAAAAACATAGCTTCTTTAATAAATGATGCTTTCCACATGCCGAAGATTAAACCTAGACCTTTATCTCTCACCATGCACTAAATTAAAATAAAAATGGATCAAAGATCTAAACACTAATACTGAAACACTAAATCTGGTGAAAGAGAAAATAGGTAGAACTTTTAAAGATATAGGGGCAGGCAAAGACTTCATGAACAAAACCCTGATTGCACAGGAACTATCACAAAAAATCAACAACTGGGATCTCATTAAAAAGCTTCTGACAGCAAAAATCACCAACAGACTAAAGAGACAACCCTCAGAGTGGGAGAAAATTCTTGCCAGCTGCTTCTCAGAAAAAGGACTAATCTCTAGCATATATAAAAACTCAAAAAACCATATCCCCAAATTTAAAGACCCAATCCAAAAATGGGCATCTGAATGAATACACACTTCTCAGATGAAGAAGTACAAACAGCAAATAAATATATGAAAAAATGTTCAACATCACTGATCATTTGAGAGATGCAAATTAAAACAATGTTGAAATTCTATCTCACTCCAGAAAGAAGGGCTATCACCAAGAAATCAACCAATAACAAATGCTGGCAGGCCTGTGGAGGAAAAAGAAACCCTCTCCACTGTTGGTGGGAGTGTAGACTGGTGCAATCACCATGGAAGTCATTGTGGAGATTCCACAGAAAACTAAAACTAGAGGTTTTGTTTGACCTACGTATTCCCCTTCTTGGTATCTTCCCAAAATAATTAAAAGCATCATACCACAGAAATACATGTACACCTATGTTAATAGTGGCATTGTGTGTAATAGTTAAATCTCGGGAACACCCCAAATGCACATAAACCAATGAACAGATAAAGATGTGTTTTGTTTCATTTACACAATGGAGTAGTATTCAGCTATAAAGAAGTATAAATTTGAGACATTTCTAGGTAAATGGATGCACCTTGAGACCATACTCTTAAGTGAACTAAATCAGCCATACAGATGTAAATACCACAGTCTCTCTGGTGTAAGAAATCGAGGATGGAAATAAGGGCCAAAATGTATAATAGATATTGTGAAATAGAAAATATTCAAATGGGAAGGGGAACTAGGGAGGGAGGAGTAGAAAAGGAAAAAAGTGAAAAGAAGGGAAAAATGGAAATAAAGTTTTGAAAATAAGGAGGAAGGGAAGAGGAATTACAGGGAGAGAAGAGGAATGGGAAGAAAAGAAGAATCAAGATACACCATGTACAGGTACAAATTCCCTAAGATGAATGTGATCATTATGTATATATAAATTGTTTCCATAAACTTACTTAAAACACACACACACACACACACACACACACACACACACACACACATGCAGGCTTTGGGCAACTAAGGACCTTGCTCATGCTAGGCACTTACTCTACCACTGAGCCACACCTCCTGAACAAATATACTACCATTTATTATTATCTCAATCACCATCATAACTTTTACTAAGGTATTATATTGAAAACTCCCAAAGCTTCATGTTTTGCTCACATTTTTAAGAGGTCAAACCTTAAATTGTTTGCTAAACTTTTGCTGAATGACTTATAAGTACCATATGTTAAAAAATAAGTAACTTCAACTCATTCCCAAACTTCTTATCATCAGCTTTTCCAAATCCTCCTGGCTTTCCTATATGCTAATAGCATTACAGTTATCCAAATTGAAAAGTGTGACCTTTAAATTCTTTTCTAACTCCAACATTTAGCAACCTCAGTTATCTGTCACAATTAATGAGCTCTGCATGTTTCCCTGTATAATCTCTCACACCTTTCCCCTCCCTTCCTTCCATTTAGTTATTACTTAGTTCAAAGGAAACCCAAATTCTCTGTCCTTGTGTGTTTCCTAATGCATAGCTAGAGGAGGCTAATTACATGTTTTAACACTTGTTTTTTTTAATATATTTTAGTTTGCAATTCAAGGTCCTCAATAATTTACCTCCATGTATCTCTCCAGGTAATTTTCCTACCAACAGTTGTTTTTTATGATACATTTTAACTATTCTATCATTTTGATCTCTGGGGACTTTATCAATAGAAAATTCAATTCCATATTTCCTCTGTTGGAATTTATATTGTTTTTATATTATAACTGTGAACCTGTTTTATATCCCCAGTTAGATAGTAAGATTAAGGGTTAAGATCACATTTTGCTAATTTTTATATCCTTTATAGGCTTACTACAATGCTCATCTGTTTCAATGATTTTGGAATTAGGTGAGATATTAAAAAGAATGATGGGGCTTGTACATACTATACATATATTAACAGTTTGCTAAATTCATGAAACATGTAATAATTTACATCTCACAAATTTTATTTCATTAAGAATAAAATAAAATCGTTCAGCTGATACCTTATTTTTAAAGTGTGTATGATGACTTTTTGTATACTGTTCATTGTTTTCTAGACTTGCAACTTCACGCAAGTTATTTTAATTTATTAACATTTGTGAAATGGAAGATGTCAATAATATTTCATTTTCCTATATCCCAAAGAAGATATAAAGACCAAATGAAATTCTGTATATTAAATTCTCACTTGAACTATGCATAGTAAAAGTGACAGATAACCTCATTGTATTGTAACTTATCCACTGTCTATGATTACCAGATAATTTATAAAGAAGCCAATTACCTCATTATCATGATATGCCCATTAGCACAAAAGCATGCCAAGCAGGCACTGTTACACATGACCACCACGTTGGCTTGCAGTATAAAAGATGTCTCAGTGATGTTATGAACATAAAGGCAAGTCTGAGAAGGCAGTGAAAAGACTTTGGCTTGTTTTTCTGAGCAGATTATTGTATACTGATGATCTCCTATTTCTTGGGATGAAGATGGGGAATTCATGACCAATTTCCTTTTCCAAGTTTTTTCATTTTCATCTATGTTGTTTGGGTCCCTCCAAACTTCATATGGAGGTTGCATTAATCCACCAGTTCGGTCCATACAGGAAAATGTTAGCACAGCTCCTTTCAATGACAGGAATGTACCTATAAAAACAATTTTATATCACTGCCATATAAAATTCTTTCTAAAACAGGTTATTCATCAATAGACAATAAATGTTTTACACCTTATAATGTGAGTGTGTATATATATATATATATATACACACACATATACACAGCACTATACTATTGCACTAATATACACAAATCAGTAGCTTTGTTGTAATAACTTGTAATCAGAACATCAGGTCTAAAGGGAGCCTAAGATATCAACTTGTTAAATTCTCTCATTATATTAACAGAAAAACATATCCCAAAAGATAATAACATGGGTCAGATCATATTGCAAGTTCGTGGCTGAACCTGGACCAGTACTCAGGGTTCCTGATTCCTAATCCAGGAGTCTTTCGTTGTTGTATAAAAAACTTTAAAAAGTCAGATTTAAGAAAATATATAACTTTCACTCATTAAAGTAATTTCAACTGAGAAAAATCATATCATCTGATATTATTTTCTTATTTAAGTCTCACTTTCTAGAAATTGCTCATTTTTCTGTTTTGGTTTTCTGAGACAGGGTATCATTTGTAGTCCAGGTTGGCCTCAAACATGTAATGATCCTTCTGCCTCAGCTCCCAAGTGCTGTGATTACAGGTGTGCACCACCATAGCTAGCATCATTTCTCTTTATTTGAAATTAAACACTTAATAAATTCCACAAACTTTAATATCTAGAGTTCCTGGTAGCAATTTTAATTGTATGTAAAACAAATATCTTTAAAAATAACTACCTTTAGCTCTTAGGACAGAGTATGTATCTTAATAAGAAAATGTGTTCACTCTCATGGATTCTCCAAGGTTGAATATCCATGCCAGATCACCAACTATGAGTGACTTTTATCAGTCTCAGAGCACCATATACTATACAGCTGAGGAGGTAATTGGGACTATGTTGGTCTCTGGACATTTTAAGACCCTGCCTAAGTAGTGTTAGGACACTAGTCCTTGTTTTCCTTTATGCTTTGACATTATACAGAGAGAATAAGGGTCTCGATCCAGGCAGGCATGTCTCAAGATTATAAATGTAACAGAGATGTGAAAAGGGAAGGGTGACAGATGAAAATGCACTCTGTTTAGAAAGTAACTTACTTATAAAGTACTTAAAATTTACCAAATTCAAAATAACTACATATTTGGAGGATCTAAGATCTCATTTACATTTTAAAAACATACTTTATGAAATCCAAATGTGATTTGGATTTCATAACAACATAGCAACTGAGAAAATAGGTTGTATCAGTTTAGGTGTTTCAGTTTAAAGGTGAAGTTATAAAAGAACAGCCCTTTCAAATCCCATAAAGAAAGAATAATGACAACAGTTATGAAGAATGATTTAATTAAGATCAACTCAGGACTAACTATGCTACTCTTTAAAACCATAATTTCATAACTAACTACCTGCTATAGAAAGATCTGCATTACATCCTGTTGTTCAGTGATGACCACACATTTGATGGTGGTCCTACACAATTATAATAGAACTGAAAAATTTCTTTTAGTGAGACTGTAAGCATAATAATGCATTATTTACATGTTTATGGTGATACTGGTATAAACAACCCTACTCTACTGCTGGTCACATACAACAGTAGCACATACAATTATGTATAATTCAAAATACTTGATAATGATAATAAATCATTATATGACTGCTTCCTGTATTTATGATATTTTAATCATTATTTTAGAGTGTGCTCTTCTACTTATTAAAAAAGTGTTACTATAAAACAATATGCTCTGTTACACCAGCATCAGTCTCATACATTTCATGTTCACCTTGTCTTTTGGATACACTGAGGCATATTATGTGACTGACCTATGTCATCTAGAATTGTTTAAGTACAATTTATGATCTTTATATAATGATGAAATCATCAATTAATGCATTTTCACATTGTCAGTAAGTAATGCATGACTATATAAATATCTTTCTTGATTTAGAGATGGCCTAAAGTAGGCTAAAGAGAACCTGGGCACGTTAGCACATCCAAGTACGTAAATCCGTACTTAGGACACTGAGGCATGAGGATTGCAAGTTCGAAGCCAGATTGCTAGGCTACATAAGCAAGTTTGAGGCCAACCTGGATTACCTAGAGAAAATTTGGCCTAAAAAAACCGATTAACTAACTAAACAAAGTAAAAGATAAGAAACTTTACTTCGGAAGTCATTATACTTATTTTCAATGCTTATATCGTATCATCATGAAAATGACAGTTTCTCAATGAGCTGCCCTTGGCAAAACAGCTGCCTCGATTCCTATAGCAGACGTATAAAAAAGGGAGGGATTCTTTCCATTACCCTGTGGTAATTAGAGCTTGGGAAACCAAGACAAAATGTTGTTTTTCTATGATTGCTGTTACTAATATCCTTTCTCTCTGATCCCAGAGTTTCATGTTTTCTGTCAGCATTCTTGCATCTGGCAATCTAACTTCATTATCTTGCACACAGAACAAAATCTCAGACACTTAATATATCCTGATTTTCTAGAATGGCAAAGGGAAGACTCATAGGAGATGAAATCAGAGAAATAAAGTGGCACCATTATGAAATTTCCTGTACAGCATGTTAAAGATTTTCTTAGACTTTTTACTTGGAATGAAATGAGAGGTTTGAGAATAGGAATGATATAATTTAACTTTCATTTAATAGGATCACTCTTTCTATTGGGTATATCAAGGTTTAAAACAGGGAGAACAAAGAGGTTAGTATAATGATCCAAGTGAGAAACAGAGGCTTGCTTGGACCAGGTGACAACAATAAAGATGGTGAGAAATATCTAAATCTGAGTATAGTATATTGTGAAGGTCAAGCCACTATTTGATAGGGTGTAAAAGAGTGAGGTGAAGAATAACACCAATGCTTTTCTTCTGAGAGCTTTGAAGAATGGAATTGCCATTAGTAGATGTTAGAAAGACTATGGGAAAAAAAGACAGGAATATCAGGAGCTAAGTTTCTGACTTGTCCATTTTGATGTTTATTAAACATGGATGTCAAATAGCTAAATATCTGTGTCAGAAATCTGAGAGTAGGTTCAGACTATAAATATAAATATATGTTCCATCAGATTATAAATGGCATTGAAAGTTATGAGGCTTGCTGATTTCATCTAGGGCTTTACTAAGTAGAAAAGAGAAAAAGTTCAAGAAGTTAGTCTTCCAGTGAAGGTGTTTGGCCTCTTTGTCAAAGATTAGGTGGCTGAGTGTGTTTGGAGTTGTTTCTGCATCTTCTAATCTATTCCATTGATCCTTAGGTCTGTTTTCTGCCAGTACCACTCTTTTTTTATCAGTAACTCTGTAGTCTAATTTCAAGTCATAGATTGTGTTGCTCCCTCCCTTGCCTTTGTTGCCCAGAGATATTTTTGCTATTCTAGTCTCTTCTGGTTCCAAATGAATTTTAGGAATGTTTTCTCTAATTCTATGAGGTATGCTTTTGGTATTTTGATTAGGATTACATTAAATTTATGTAACAATTTTGGGAGTATGGCCATTTTCACTATTTTGGTTCAAATGACAAATATATGAACAAATGTTCAACATCATTGGTCATTTGAGAGACATAAATTAAAATAATGCTGAGATTCCATCTCACTCCAGAAAGAATAGCTATTATCAAAAACTTGTGGGGAAAAAGGAACCCATTTCCACTGTTGTTGGGAGTGTAACCTGTGCAACCACTGTGGAAATCTGTGTGGAGATTCCACAAAAAAACTAAAACTAGAGGTTCCATTTGAACCAACTATTTCCCTTCTTGGTATCTTCCCAAAATAATTACAAGCATCATACCACAGCTATATGTGCACACCCATGTTTATAGTGTGGCACAGTTTGTAATAGCTAAATCTTGGAAATAGCCTAAATGCCCATTAACCTATGAATGGATAAAGAAGATGTGCCTTTTTAATACAATGGAGTAGTACTCAGCTATAAAGAAGCATAAACTTGAGACACTTCTAGGTAAATGGATGCACCTTGAAACATACTCTTCAGTGAAATAAATCAGACAGTGAAATAAATACACTGATGTTCATAGTTGATTATAGTTTTAGGAGGTACTGTCCAGTTGGAGGACATGTATAAATATGTGTAAATATCACAGTCTCTCTGGTGTGAGGAACCAAAAGTATAAATAAGGACCAAAATGTATAACATACATGGTAAAATAGAAAGAAAATTTTCAAATGGGAAAGGGAACTAGGGAGGAAGGAGGAGGAAAGGAAGAAAGAGAAAGGAAAAAAAATGAGAAAAGAAAAAATTGAAACAAAGCTTTTATAAATAAGGAGGGTAAGAGGGGTTGCAGGGAGGAAAGAAGAATGGGAAAAAAGTATCAAGATACATCATGTATAGGTACAAATGCGCTATGATGAGTGTGAACACTATGTATATCTAAATTGTACCAATAAAATTAACTAAAATATGAAGAAGTTAATCTTGGGGTATTCTGATGATTACAGTCCAATGGAATGAGGATGAAACCAAAAAGGAACAGTTAAGAGTGACAGTAAGAAAATCAGGTAAATATAACATTCTAGAATACAAGTCAAGTGAAATTGCAGATATGTCAAAAAGATGTTGCCTGAGAATTGACCACTGAATTTATCAATGAGGTCAGTGGTATGGCTTTAAGCTTATGTGGTATAAAATTTGACTCAACTTTTAAATGTATGAGCAATGAATGTCTGGCACATTTGTTCAGTAAAGAATGAATCTGAATTACTAATAATGCATTATGACCTCACTGATCTGGCTTTGACTCAAGCTGAGTAAAAAGAATGGTGTATATTTCCTTAGAATTAGGAGTACAGTAACAAGTTTCTTTATTGTGAAATATATGTTTATAGTAAAGTGATACTAACCAATTAAAACAATGGATTTATCTAAATTTGTCACACCATTAGAGAACTGAATATTCTTCCTATCATTTATCATATGAACTTTGCATTCTAGTTAATAAAGGAAACAACTGTCTCTAACCTGCGATACCCTATACATTCTTTTAAACTAAAAATTACGCTGTATATTAATGAAATTCTTTTTTTTTAACTTAAGAACAACCAAAACCACTTCTTATATAGAAAGGAGTAAAATTAATGGAACCTATCATAAGTGTTTGAAGTAATAACACATAGTGACAGTTCATCTTAATTATCGACTTGATGAAGAGACTCTTGGCTAAGTGACTGGATCATGGGCGTGCTATACTCATGAGTAGACTAATACACTGATGTTCACAGTTGATTATGGTTTTAGGAGGTGCTGTCCAGTTGGAGGAGGTCAGTCACTGGTGTGCCTCTTGAGGGTGTAGCTCTTGTTAGTAATCGTTCCTTGTAGATATACCTGGCTGCCATGAAGTGAGCATCTTTGTTCCACTATGCCCTTCTGCCATGATGTTTCTACCTTGGATCTAGACAACTAGGGATTGAAACTGCTGACAGTGTGAGCCAGATAACCTATTTCCTCGTTTAAGTTGTATATGGATGTCAGGCATTTTGTGCCAGCAGTTGGAAGGCTAACCTATACACAAAGGGAATTAAACTCATCCCTTTTGTGAAAGAAAAGAAAAGTAGGAAAAGAATATAACATATACCTTAGCAGGAACCCTTATGACAGATTAAATTTTCTAGGCACTAGAATAAAAAAAAATCATGTAATATATCTTTGAAGCAAGATGAGAAGATTGTGAACGACTTTAGAAATCTACATTAAGTCAGAAGGTGTCTAGTTTAATTGTTCTGAGCTCTTCAAGGATGATGTAAAAATACTCATAGGCTCCAATCTGGCATAGACATTTCAAGAAATACTTCAATTCTTTAAAAATAAATTTAACTTTTCCATTAAGGTTTTGCTCAGTGCTTATCAGAAACACATTGTTTAAGGCATTGTTTAGGCAGTTGCACAATTTACTACCATAGAAATAATTCTACTCTTTTATCCTGAAGGACAGGTAATTCACAACACAGCAAATATTGGAATAGTATATGTTTTAGGAAATTCTCAGTAGTCCTTATTACACATAACAGTCACAATCTTTATTCCACATTAATACAGCAAGTGGGCCTAAGGGTGTGGGAGCAGGGGGAGGAAGGGAAGCAAAAAGGGTCAAGATGTGCTATGTATGTGTACCAGTTTCCCAGGATAAATATATTTATTATATATCATAAACATATACTAACAAAAAAGTGAAGAAGTAAAGCAACCCAAATTATTAATACTTTATATCTAAGTTTGAAAAAAGAACAAGGCAATGGATGAATAAAAACTCTTACCACTTGGCAATACCATGACTGGTTCTGAAAACCTTTGTTCATCTGATAATGGTAGGTTTAGGGGAATGATCAACACCATTCCCAGACTAGTCCCAACAAATAGACAAGGGGAGATGGTAGAGTCATTTTTCCGTGCAAAGGATTCCATAAAGTACAATGCTGTAATTGCTTCTTTTGAATCTTTATCAATACTGGAGATACTAGAGCTTCTAGAACGATTATAAGAATTTTCTCGGTTTTCTATGGAAAATATAAAGATAAAAATTAAGTATTAGAGTATTTCCAAAATAAGTGAAGTCAGGTAAAATATGAAGACTAAAATTATAAACAGAAAGTATCATCTCATTCTTCATTAATTGATCTGGAAGGAAGTTTCTTTAGTTCACCAGCTTAGAAAATGGAGAGATGGAAGTGCAGAAGTATAAATCTTAAATTTGGGCAGAAATAAAACTAGGCCTTGAGTCTCCTGAATTTCAGTTTACCACTTATTCTTTCTCTACATTACCTCAGCTACTAGTTAAAATGATCTAATATGGAAAATATATTCAATCTAAATAGTCAAAGTTATAAAACTTCCTGATAAATTATGCTGCTTTCCTATCTTTCAATTGTCAAAAATATTATTAATGCTTTCTTGATAGTTTCCAATTAGTGACACTGTTATGGCTACTGATGTGAAAGAAGTAGTCTAGATCATAAATATTCTGTGATAAACACATTATATATCTGGGGGAAATTACAACTACAAAAATTGAAGTTTGTACCAAAACCAAAATGCAAATACTATCTCTCAACTGGTATCAAACTGCCACCTTGAATTCAAATCCTGTCCCAACTTCGTGTGTGGCCAAATAAAAAGCTGTAGACTATGCCATCCTATGGATGGTGGTGATCTCTCTGAGGATGTTTCAGCCCACTCTAAGGAAACAGAATGGGTTCATAATCTCTTGATTATCAACACTTATATGGGCATACTCAGACAGGCATAATAAGCTCACTAATCTTAGTAAAGTTTTAGTGAAATTGTACTGTGCTCTTAATTGCTCCAGGATATAAGTTCCTCATATTTCTCTTTTTAGTAGCTTTACTCTCCTTTCCCTTTGGATAGGTACAAAGGTGTTTCATAACTATTTACACAGAAAGATACACAAGTCCTCAGACTCTTTCTCCAGGTAATAAAATATAGTAAGTATTCCTACTCTCCTTTTCATCCCTTAGCAAATTCTGGAGTCATGCTGGTAGCCCTACCAAGCTCTCAGTTACTCATGGCCTTTACATGAGACTTCCATAGCTTGTCTCCCACCATCTGCTACCATAGTAAATTGAATTTTAACTGTCCTCACAAAACTTGATACGTTTAACCTACCTTCTGCTGTAACTGGTAAAGATATCTCCATGCAAGCAGCTGACTGTGCCTTTCGAAATGGTGGTCTTCCAGGAGCCCAGCGATTTACTTTTGAAACATCAGCACTAGAAAGACGTTTTCCAGAACCGCAACTTTGAGAAGTTGGACTTGTGCAGTGTCCATTTACATGGTCTGTACCAAGAGGGGGAAGGCAGCATAAATATTACAGACCTTCACTTACGGAAATTCTAAAGTGTAGAGTAACATGTGAAACAGAAGCACAAGAAATCCTTTTTTTCTAAATCATACGACTATGGGTAAATCCTCGCTATTTTAAGAATCAGTCACAGTTTTAGATTTATCAAAAATTTTCAAAAACATTTATTAAATTAAATGCATTTTTCTTATTTGTCTAGCATAGTTTGAAATTTACTCTGTATCTGTGCATATATTATATAATTTAACGGCAATATGAAATAAGTTTAGTATTGGACATTTTGTTACATAACTTAAATATACACTTCAAGTTTTGGAAATACTTTTAGTGGTTGAAGTTTACACTATAGAACAGGAGCATCTCACCATGCAGCAAGAATGGGAATTAAGAATATTGGCTCTCAGCCAAACTGACTGGGTTCAAATTCCAGTTCTGCCACTTACAAGTTGTATAAATTATTGAAGTCCGCATGCTTTAGTTTCCCCTTCCATAAATTTAGAATATTACCTACCTTATGTAGTTTTGTGATTTGTGTGTGTGTGTGTAAGAGAGAGACACACACACACATGTCACATGCTAGAATACATGCTGATATACAGTAGACAACGAATATAATTTTACTGTCACTCTTATTCAAAAGCACAAAAGTGCTCCCCAAAATAAAAGTACTGCTCATTTAGGGCTCATGAGTGAACTTCTGTTTGGATACAACATGAAAAACTTGGGCTCAATGGTAAAGTGCTTGCTTAGTATTATGAGCCCTCGATCTTATCAACTAAAATTATGTCTTATCCCTCCCTTTATTTTTCTTAAAAGCTAACAAATTGCATCTGACACATTATCTCAGTTCTGCAATGCACAGAATGCAGTTTGAAATGTTCTTTTTTGTTACTCAAAGGGCAAAAGAGTCACATGGGGGAAGAATGCTTAATGGCGATGTTGAACACATAGAACTGACACTCAGTCCATACTCTATTACAGCCTTTATGTTTTGAAAAGTTTGAAAGACTAAAATTACACCTGTCCCAGAGTCCTTTGCAGTGAGTCAAGGGTGAGAATTAGTTATCATTTTATATGCGGGTGTGTTTTACTATTTTTTAAAAAAATAAGTAAATATTTACCAAGTATTTAAATGGTGGGTATTTTACTTCATTTAATCTTAACATCCCTGCAGTGTAGGTGCTTTTATTATTTCCTATTATTGCAGACAAGGAAATTGAGTCTCAGAAAAAAAGGGTTTGGAAAATTTTCTTCTATCACCTAGTGGTAACCAGGTAGGCAGGATTCAAATCCATCTTTTCTCAGTGTCCGTATGATTAAACATTGGGCCACAGGGTCAGCTAAAGTATTTGGAACAGGTAGCAATTTTGAAGACATACTTAGTAGTAGGGTTAAGGAGGGTGATGTAATGCACACTGAGATCCAAGCCTTTTGGGACCAATCATCTTCCACTTTGACATAGATCTCACAGCCCAGATGGAAAGGCAGAAATAGCTCATGATGAGTTATCATGGACAAGCTAAGCCAAGTATATCCCTCCTTCTCTCTCACACCAAGGGCAACAGCTGGCACTGACAGCTTTAAGGGTACAAATTACAATACACCCACACTGGGCTCATCAGTCAAAAAAAAAAAAAAAACCCACCCTTTTCAAAGACATGATATGTTCAAGGGCTTAGAGCTTGTTTATAGGAATGTGGGATGGGAACGTGGGATAAATCTCTGATAGATCCAGGAGTGTGTAGCAAAGCCCTGAGAACAGTGAAATTTGCCACCTAGCCAGAACTCTTTGGATTTTTTTTTTTTTTTGTTGTTGTTGTTTTTGTTTTTTTCCTGGTACTGGGAATCGAACTCACGACCTTGCGCTTGCCAGCAGGCGCTGTGCCGCTGAGCTAAATCCCCAGCCCCCTCTTTGGATTTCTTAAACCAGAGCTACAGTATTCTTCTCTAGCAGTTACCATCTTTGGTTGCTGTTTCATGTGCATATGCTTTATTTCCACTTATAGCAGAGTGGCATCAATTAACAGATTATTCAGCATGCCTTCCTTTTTCTTTTTTAGTACATTTGCAATACATAATGAACACATGCATTGTAAGGAGTTGATATATGTGCATATTGCATCTTAATCCTTTGTACTCCCCTTTCTTCCCTCTTCTCTCCCTCTATCCCTAGGTTCCCTTCCTGTCTTCAGAAGGTCTACATTCCTGCTTCCTATCATTTATCTTACTTTTGTTTTTCTCCCCCACCTGTTGTGTCAGACAAATTTCCTCTAGCTTTTCATGTTTGACTCATGAGGTCTTGTTGACATTATTACAGGTAGGCACCCCAGAATTTGGACCCTATCCTTATGCTTTCAATAGGGCTTATGTAATTAAAGGATAATTTCACAGGTGAGTTTTTAAAAATTTAAGGTTAATACTCTTTTTTAATGGTTTTCTTTACCATGCTATATATTTTATTCTTATATTTTATATATATACATATGAACTGGCATAAAACATTTAGAAATTTAATCATAGCTCAGACATTCCAGACATTTATGACAAAGAAATATGCTAAATATCAAAGAAAAATAAAACATTATTTAATAGTCACTGTAGTAATAGTTATTATAGAAACCAGTTATAGTTTACCTCAAATTTTACATAAATTGTGCTATATATCACATAATAGAGTACTATAATCTTTAAAAAAATAGTTTTATGTTTAATATAAAACATCTATAATACTTTGTTGCATTAAAAACCACTCCAAAAGTTGATACAAAATAAAAATAATTTTATTGTGCTCAAAGATTCTGTGGAGCAAGACTTTGATTAAGGCAAGATGGGGCTGTCTAATCTCCATGATGTCCAGGGCACTCTTAGAGATGTCTGAAATGGCTGAGGCTTGGAATCCTTTGGAGGCTTCTTTAGTCACTTGGGTTACAGTGATGTAGACTGAGTCTCTTGATAGTGTTGATGCTGACAGCTTCCAGAGAGGCATGGTTTTCAGGGTCTTGGGCATGGTCTTAGTGTACTTGTCATTTTTGCATAGTAGCTCAGCTTCAGAGAGCCTGGCAAATGATTTTGGAAGTGGAATGGAAGCCATTTGTCTGCTTCTATGCTGACATTGTAGTAGAGACTATACATGCTTTTAAAAGCCCCATTTCAGAGTCCAGTCACAGACTTCTGTGTGTCCAGAGGGGGTGTGATAGAATCCTGACCTTACTTAGAACAGTATGTTCCTAAGTTCCACAGCTAATTGGCAATGATCATCTTATTCTATTTCTAAATGTAGCAAAGGCAGCTGTTCCCCTGCTGTGTCTTCTTTTGGTCTTACTATGAAAATCATAATCTAAACCCCATGCTTGAGTTTACTTCCCTAACTTTTCAATGATTTGATGAGCACCTAGATTCTTATATTATTGATTTTTTGTATAACATAGCTAGAATGTTTTTTGTTTCCTATAGCTGCTCTTGATTATATTAGTGGTTTAGGCTACCTTTTGAGCTCTGTATCATATAGAGAAAATGTAACATTCTAAAAAATTCAACCTTAAAACCATTTGCAGTGAAAGGGAAATGATTATTATTTTATAGGAAGATTCCCAATTTGAAAAATTACACATTTTTTAAAAGTTTGCTCATTTTGCAGTGCCTTTAAGACTTGATTTAGTGTATTACCTGTATAAACTATTAATTGTATAGTGATAATTTACTAAAAATGGTTTTTGTACTAATTGAAGTTTATTTTTCACATGGTCATTTGTCAAAGCTTTATTGAAGAATGTAAATGAAGATTTGGTTTAATACTTGGTAAACTAGTCTTATTAAACAACCCTTTAAATGTATTACACAGGCCCTGCGCAGCGAGAGCCAGTGTTCCAGGAGCGGCTAGACCCCTGGGCTCGAGTCTGTGCTCGCCCACACCGCCACGGTTCCCAGCTGAAACGCGCGGAGAGAGCCAGCGAGAGCCAGTGTTCCAGGAGCGGCTAGACACCTGGGCTCGAGTCT